AGCAGCCAGGAGTCTGGATCCCAGGAGGCATAGGATGTTGGAGGGGCCAGCAGGCCCTGAGTGCCAGCCTAGCAGCGAATGTCATAAGGAGGGCGGGGGACCCACAGAAGCTTCAGACAAGCCGCTGCGTGCTGAGAGCCGATGGGAGAAGGGTGAGGTTGCTGGAAGCCAAGGCCAGACACCCGGAGGGGGCAGGGGCAGGGCTCGGGGTGATGGGGGGTTGAGGACTGAAGGACGAGGATTGGGGAAGAGCACCTCCACCCCCAAGCCCGTCTCCAGGTGAGCTCCACAAAGTCGCTGGCTCTGCCTTTTAAGGCGATGGTGGCTTCTGCCACCTCCGTGTTCTCACTTGCTCAGAAATTCCCAGCAAGTATTTTCTTTATTCTTTTTTTCAGGAGGAATGGAATGAGGCTCCTTGTTTTGTCACCGCAGGATTCCAGAGAGGCCTGTTTGGGGGTTCTGGTGACAGGAAACACAGACCTCCAGGCACTCGGAGACCGCTGTGACACGCACAGACACGGATCTCAGGAGGCCCGGACCACTGTTCCGCCCACTGCGGGCCCATGGAAACGCCTGGGGACCCCCAAGTGGGACACCCAGACGAACCCGAGCACTGATGAGTCCCAGAAATGCAGGGAACGTTTATTGAGCACCTACTATATGACCACTCACTCAGACTTTCCCCTGGAGAATTGCTTCCTTTGGGGCTCAGATCTGAGTTCTTATTCTCAGATCTTGTTCCCACCTGAGGGCCTTTGTGCCCACTGGTCTCTTTGAGCAAGGCATGTTCACCCCTTAGAGCTCCACCAGGTTGGATCCGATACACCCTCAGGTTTCAGAAAGGCCTCCCCTGTCCCATCTCTCTCAGTCCCTGTATTATTTCTTCACAGCATTTAGCACTTCTTATTTTTTCTAAGTTAATTTATTTAATTGGAGGCTAATTACTTTATAACATTGTAGTGGTTTTTGCCATACACTGACATGGATCAGCCATGTGTGTACATGTGTCCCCCATCCTGAACCCCCCTCCTTCCTCTTCTTTTAAAAGTGTATTTAGGGGAGTTCCCTGTAGCAGGCCAGTGGTTAGGATTCCACGCTTTCACTGCCGAGACCTGTGTTCAATCCCTGGTCAGAGAACTAGGATCTGACAAGCTACACAGCACAGCCAAAAAGCATATACTATGAAAGTAGGGTTTTCAATCAATATCTATAATATAGAGCCCTTTCACTATCCAATGTGTGTGTGTGTGTGTGTGTGTGTGTGTGTGTGCACGTGTGTGTATGGCGCTTCAGTCATGTCTGACTCTTTGCGACCCTATGGACTCCTCCATCCATGGGATTCTCCAGGCAAGAATGCTGGGGTGGGTTGCCATGCCCTCCTCCAGGGGAATCTTCCCGACCCAGGGATCGAACCTGTATCTCTCTAAATCTCTGGCATTTGCAGACAGGTGCTTTACCACTAGTGCCACTTGGGAAGCCCCTCACAATCCAATAATCAGCTCAAAAAGTTTTACAACCCAATAATAAATATGAGTTTCCAATCTGAATGAAGAGTAAAATATACCAGTCAGGGCCCTGACTGTACAAAAGGATAATATTCAAAGGAAGCTCACAATTTAGAGGGGCTTCCCAGGTGGGGGCCAGTGGTAAAGAACCCACCTGCCAACACAGGAGAAACAAGAGACAGAGATTTGATCCCTGGGTTGGAGAGAACTCCTGGAGGAGGAAATGGCAATCCACTCTGGTATTCTTGCCTGGAGAATCCCATGGACTGCAGCCACATAGCACGCACAGTTCAGAATCATCCTACTGTTTTTAGATCCACAGCAATTCTTTTTGTAGTAATTTGATTTAACAGTACCATAATTCTAATGAACAAGTTAAATCATGTGTGTATGCTCAGTTCTATCTGCCTCTTTGCGACCCCATGGACAGCAGCGCATCAGGCTCCTCTGTCCCTGGGATTTTCCAAGCAAGAATACTGGAGTGGGTTGCCATTTCTTCCTCCTGGGGATCCTCCCAACCCAGGGATTGAACCCATGTCTCCTGCTTTGGGAGGCAGGTTCTTTACCACTGAGCTACCTGGGAAGTGCCAAGTTATACCAAGGATCTCTAAATTCTGAAATAAACTAACAAATGCATGAATCAACCATGAATAGGGATTACCCCATACTTACCACCAGTGACTCAGATGTCTTTTTCGGATCATTTGACTATTTCATTTTCAAAGTTCTGAAAAGGCCAACAGACCATACAAAATTTCTTTAGGCTCCTGCTTAATACTAACAGCTTCCGCAAACTGCTGGCCTTGATCCGGGGCCAAAACATCCATTGCTTCTATTATATAAATATAAATTATTTAAATTGTTATAAATTATATAAATTATTATATAAATAATAAACCTTAGCAGATCAACGCTTTTTTTTTTTTTTTTTACCTTTTTAGGCTGTGAGACATGTAGGATCTTATTTCCCTGACCAGGGATAGAATCTGTACCCCCTGCAGTGGAAGCTCAGAGTCTTAACCACTGGACCACCAGGGAAGTCCCTCGTCACTTCTAAAGCTGTCCTGTTTGCCAGTGTTTACTGTCTGCCCTCCACAACTAGACGATAAGCTCAAGAGCTGGGTCTCTGAGTTCAGCACGGCTTCCCCAGCTCCTGTGTGCCTGGTGGGCACTCGGTTTCTTAAGACTGAAGCTGATCCCACACACATGGGTGGGCTTTCTGCTGTCCCTGAGAAGCCCAAATTCTCATTCTGACCACAGCTCCAGCCATTCTGTGAGCCCACTGAAACCATCTTCTGCACTAGGTCCCACAACCACCGCTGCCAAGGTGTCAGTCTCCAAACAGTTGAGGTTGAGGTTCAGATCTGTGATCCAGGAGGTGCCCAAGATCACTCCCTGGCCAGGGGCAGGGCAGAAACAAAGAGGATGGGGATGTGGGGAAATGGGGATGGCTGGCAGACAGGGGCTCAGTCAAGCAAGCCTGCCCTTGAAAACTCTCTCTGTGCACACATGTGGGGCCAGGAGGGTGTGGTCTGTCTCTGCTATTGGGTGCATTGTGCAGGCCGGCAGCCTGTTCTCTGGACCCCACATCCCCAGTCATCCTGTACAACTGGGCAGATTCCTAAAAGGGAGTAAGGCCCAGCCAGGACATCTCAAACCAGCAAAGCCTTTCCTACCTGGGCTGGATGGGCAGCTAGGGTCCAGGGCTGATATAAGGGTCATGGGAGGCCCATGGGTTCAGAGGCCAAGGGCAACTGGGGTGGGTGAGGGGACGAGGTGGGGCCTCAACCATCTCAGCACCTTCCCCAGAATGCGATTGGAGAGAAGCTTCTGCAGTGACAAGACCAGGAACCCAGCTCCCACTCTTGGTTCTGCCACAGCTACCTGGTGGCCGTGGGGCAGGTCCTGAACCCCTCTGGTTGTGGGCTTGACTCCCGGGACTATGGGGCATCTGAAGAGGCCCTGACTGGGGAGAGAACTGAGCCCCCTGCGAAGTCCAGAATCCTCTCGCAAGGCTGTCCCAACTGGGTGCTGCCCACTCTCGCCCCCTGGTGGCTCCAGCCTTGAGTGCAGCTCCCACCAGTCAGGGCCTGGGTCCTGGGAAGACGGGTGCTGCAAGGACAGCAGACTAGCAGAGGTTGGCTGTGAGCCACTCAGCCCAGAAGGGACTCCAGGAAAGCTGGGCTAACATAGATGCTGGGGAGGGGTCCCAGACTGAAGGGTCTTACTCAGCCTCCTTTACCACAGAACCCACCCGTGTGAGGGGGCAGGGGTGGGAGTGGGGGACATGTCCATTGGGAACCAGAGGCTCAACTCAGGCCACATCCAGTAATCTTGACACAGAACCCACAGGGCCTTGGGTTAGATTCCTGGGTCAGGGAGATCCCATGAAGGAAATGGCAACCCACTCCCGGATTCTTGCCTGGAAAATGCCACAGGGGAGCCTGGCATGCTACATACAATCCATTGGGTCAGCTGACACAATTGAGCACACATGCTCTCTGGGTCAATCTTCCCATTACTAATCCTTTTGAATAGAAAACTAAGGCTCAGAAGATACCAGAACCCAGGTGATTAATAATTGGTGGGCAACTAGCTGGCTGCAAAGATGCTGGGCAGGGATGTCAGAAGTGCTGCGGCTGTGATCTCTGCCCTGCTTAGGTGGGGCCAAGGCAAAACATGCCACATAGGCAGATGACATGGGCAGCTAGGATTGGAAAGATGCTGGGATTCACTCCACCAGTGAAGGGTGGGCAAGACCCCAGAAACCCCAGTGTAGAGGTCCAGGAACCAAGCTGCTCACCAGTCTGCTTGCTGTTTAGTCACTGTGTCTGACTTTGCAACCCAACGTACTGCAGCACGCCAGGCTCCCCTCTCCATCTCCCAGGAGTTTGCTTACTGGCCTACATGATGCCAGATGCTCAACATGGTCAGCACAACACAGGGGCCCGACAGAGACCAGAATGCAAACAGGGTTTCAATAGCATGACCAGCCAGGTGAGCCAGTTCAAGGCACTCAAGCCCCACCAACCCATACTCTAATAAAGTCAACTTTAATCACCAGGGCCTTCCACAAAGCGAATTCATGTTCTAAGCCCCAAGGGACATGCAGGTCCTTCTGCTTGACATCCATCCACTCCCACAGCCAGAACTTGGCTGATGGCTACAAAGGAACCTCAGCAAGCCCCAACTGGAACCCCTCCAGTGACCAGTGACTAAACCATGTAGCTGGACACTCAGAACCAGGGCCTGCCCTGCCAGTAGGTGACAAGGACTTCAGGTCCTCGCTGCCTATGTATTGCCACACAAGGGACCCAGACGCCTTGCCCAATGACAAACATTTCACACTCCTTAGGCTGACTGGCTCTCAACTTGCTTCATCTTCACCAGGCATGGGGCCACCATGGTAGGGCAAAGAGCTGGGGGACCAAGGGAGAATGAAGGCCCAAGGGAAGCAGCCAGAACTGAGAAAGCAAAGAAAGTCAGAGGCAGATGTCAGTGGAAAATAATTTTATTGAGATTCTACCAGCTGCACAATCTGTTCTATTAGGCCCCTTCTTCCTTGGCAATTCGGTCCTTCTTAAGTGGTCCCTGTGGAGAGAAAAGCAGCAAGGTGAGAAATAGAAGGCAGTAGTCTCAACTCCCCCAACCCCAGAGGGTCAGACTCTGGACTGGTCTCCCCTGCCCTGGCACAAAATAACAAAGCAGCACCATCTGTATCAGCACCACATGGGCAGGCGAACAGGTGACAGCAGCTGAAATCCACCCCCACCCCAGCCTGGGGGCAGCAAGCTAAGTACTTACCATAAAGGCTTTCTTCTCCTCCACAGTCTGGAAGCGACCGTGACCAAATTTGGAGGTGGTGTCAATAAATTTGAGGTCGATCTTCTCCAGGGCCCGGCGTTTGGTCTGCACCAGCAAGGACTGTGGGCCAAGAGGGGAAGGTTAGAGCACCAAGCCTTTCCCTGCACCACCTCAGCTCACAGCCCTTCATCTTAGAGGGAAGAGGCAAGGATACAGACGAGGATATACGCAACCAACAAACGCTGGGCCAGGCCAGACAGGGGATTTCCTCCTCCCAAGACGTGTGTCAGGCGCAGCAATTCCTCCCTGCTTTTCCTCCCAACCAGCTCCCCTATCAGAGCTCGGCATTCCCCTCCAGCCTCACCTTGCGCAGAGTGAGCACTCGCTTCTTGGTTCCCACCACACAGCCTTTGAGCATGACAAAGTCATTGGTCACCTCACCGTAGTGGACAAAGCCACCCTGGGAAGCAGCAAGGTCATCAGGTCAGCACAGATCAAGCATGAGGTCTGACCACACACACCCTGACTCCCAGGTCCTGGTGGGCCCAGGACAGCCACCTGACCAGAGCTGTTCTCAGAAGGAAGGCAGCGAGGAATACTTCCGCAGTCTGACTCGGGCGCTGTGCCCAGCGCTCATTCCAGGGTCTCATCACTGAACAGCTGGCCCTACCCCGCAACCAAACAGTCCCCACCGGCTGGATGCTGCCCAAGGGACCAGAGAACTGTGGGTAAAAACTGATCCTGACCCCGCAGGGGAGGCCCGGGACTCGGGGAAATCCCCCAGCAGACCAGACAGGATTTGCAAGGACAGCTCCCATTACTCACCAGAGGGTTGATGCTCTTGTCAGACAGATCGTAATCAGTAGAGGCATTGTTCTTGATCAGTTTGCCGTCCTTGATGAGGTAGCCCTGACCGATCTTGTAGATCTGAAGGAAGAAATGAGCATAAATATTTGATTAACAAGAAAACAAGGCGGGGACTCAAGTTGACTGGAGGCAAGGACTGCCATTAGGGACAAAAGATCCCCCAACTTGGAGGTGGGTAGCCTGCAAAGGACTCTGGGAAAGCAGTTATGACCGTGACCATCGTGATGGGGCGTTCCCAGGCTCGGAGCACAGAAAAGCTGCCTGGGCCTGAACAATACCATCCAGGGACATTAAGGGATGGGGCCTCTCCAACACCATGGGACAGAAGAGGATAAACGAGGCTCCTATCCTCATCACCTTCAAAGATGGCGCTTTTCAAACTACAACATTGATGAGTCGCAACTGTGCCACCAGGCGTGAGCAACCAAGTCTATGTGATGCTCCACCAAGTGGACTGATGGTGACAAGGACTAGAACCCCACACAATTCCCAAGGATGGAGCCACTCTGCTCCCCTAGGGCTGAAGTCTCCACAGGAGCCCCACGTGCACCTCACCTTCTTGTTGATCTCGGTGCGGTGATGGTAGCCTTTCTGCCCAGCCCGAGCCACAGAGAAGGCCACCCGGGCGGGATGCCACGCCCCAATACAGGCAACCTTGCGCAGCCCTCGGTGGGTCTTACGGGGCAGCTTCTTGGTGTGCCAACGGCTGGTGACCCCTGGAAGAGACACAGGCTGTTAACACAATGCCTGGCACCATGCCACTAGCCCTTTCATGCTACGAATGCCCAACTTTAGTTCGTGGGACTTTGTCCAAAGAAATAAAACACCTGACTACTATATCCTCTCCCTTACTATACCTCCATCCATCCAAGGTGATTATCAGCTTAGACATAAACCTTTTCAGCAACAAGATCAGGCCTTACAAAATCATCCCTATACAGGAATATCATGTGGACCCAAGAGCATTCATGAAGCCCCCAGCCCAGTGGTTTGCAGTGTGTTGAAAGGCCATTCATCCCCAATCCCACATACTGACCCAACCACCTGACCAGAGACCAGAGCTATTCTCAGAAGGAAGGCAGCGAGGAATACTTCCGCAGTCTGACTTGGGCGCTGTGCCCAGCGCTTATTCCAGGGCCTTATCACTGAACAGCGGGCCCCACATCAACTCTCCCACGGTAACCACAGCAACTTGGGCCACTGCAAAGCTCACCTTTGTAGCCTTTGCCCTTGGTCACCCCAATGACATCAATCATCTCATCCTGGCCAAATACTTGGTTCACAGGGACCTGCTGCTCAAGCCTCTCGCGGGCCCAGTCCAGTTTTTCAGCCACAGTGCCTCCGTTCACCTGGATCTCCATGAGGTGGGCCTTCTTCTGGCGCAGAGGAAGCAGGCGCATCTAGAAAAGCACAGGTAATTCAGTGTGAAAGGACTCCAAGCCAGGCAGAACACCAAGAACCTTCCACCAACCAGCTCCCCTGTTCCTGATCGGGCCTTTTGGCCAGCGCTTTTGGGGTCCCTGCTCTGGTTTACCCTAGCCATCTAGCATGCTGTTAGCTATCAATAAAGCCACTTTTTAAAAGAGCAGTATAGAGCTGCAAATACAAGCTGTGAGGAACAAAATCTAAACAAAGCTTTATAAAAGCTGGCCAGCGCTATCCTACTGAGCTACCTTCAATAGACACACCACAAATCTGTGGTAATGTGGTCACCACTAACCACACAAGACTACTTTTCACTTAGAAATGACAGGTGTACACAAAGGTTAACAACCCAGATTGTACCCAGTATAACCCAGAAAACTAAAAGCTAAACCTAATTCAACTCACGTCAAGTCTGAAGTGCAAATACCAGTCTCTCAACACTATTTTCAGTTAGGTGCTAGACTACGTAAGTTATGACTCACCAATTCCTTCAACCAGTTTTCCTAAAAACAGGGCATGGTTCTATCTAATTAAGAACCACTGGGGACACAGTGCCCTCTGCTGGCAACAAAAACCCTGTGTGGAGCCACTGGATGCCTTCTCAAGCCACTCTGTGTCCTTAGGCTCTGGCCCCAGGAACCCAGGTCTCAAGGCAGGCAGGGCCTTGGCTGGACTGTTGCTTTTAACACCCTTGTCCACCAGGAAAATACATTTAAGTATTTAAAATCTTACTATCCCTAAAATCATGAAGTCTGAGCACAGGATCAATCCAGAAGATAAAGAGTCCCCCCAAAGCCACCGGTGACCACGCAGGCCATTGCCTCAGACGGGCAGCAGCGGGCAGTCAGCCTCCTCTCGGCCCTGGCCAGCACGTACCTGGGTGTGGGCAATGACACGGATGACCTGACAGTACTTCTTCATGCTGCTGAAGTCCCTCTCCAGTTGCTTCTTGCCATCTACGTCCTGCCACTTCTTGCAGTATTTGGTGAAGGCCTTCTTCTTAGATTTATGCCTTCAGGAGCAGAGCAGAGTTGGGGAGGGGGCCCAGGTGCCAGCCTTCATCACCCCTCCAACGGGTGAGGGGGAGGCATACAGGCACCGTGTGGGGATGGGGCTCATTGCCGGCTTCTAAGGAGCCTTTTCCACCGGCAAGCGGAGCCTGGATGGAGCTCATCGGGCAAGGCCGAGCGGAGCTGAGCAGAGGTCCACAAGGTTAATGATGAAACACAACATTCGGATATACAAATTCTTGCTCCAAGTTAGCCATTAACCAGACCACACACCCGGGGAGGGCTGGGGGCGTTAGTTGCTGCTCTGTTTCTAAGCAGATCCCCAATACCTGTCAGCAACCAAGAGGATACTACTGAACTGAGGCGGCAACTAAGAGGATACTACTGAACCGAGGCGGCACCCAAGGTCAACACCAAAGGAAATGTGTCAGGATACTGCTCCCACTGTCCCTGAGAACTGTTCTGCCCAAGAGGCAACTAAACCTGACACCAAAGCAGCTGCCCTGCAGCCGGCTATGGAACAGAGGCCCTACACAGCAGACTGCCCTTCCCCTAGCCCGACCCAGGGTGAGCCCAGCCTCTGCTCCCTTACCAGTTCTTGTAGAAGCGCCTTTTGCACTCGTCACTGATATGCTCAGCAAAGATGGTCTTAAAGGTCCGGAGGCCTCGGGGTGTTTCCACGTAGCCCACGATGCCCACAATCACCATGGGTGGAGTCTCCACGATGGTCACAGCCTCCACAACTTCCTTCTTGTTCACCTCTGCAAATAAAGTAGGTAGTCAAAGCTGAGTGGACTAGCGAGTCCCTACACGTGCCCTTCCAGGCCAGCAATCTGCTTCACGGGCCAGGAGTTTGCAGCAGTCCGCACCTCTCAGGACTGTCTCACTGCAGACTGCTCAGCTGGCGCGAAGATAAACCATCTGGACCCTACTCAGCCATTTAACAGTCTGGCTCCAGTTCTGGTCTGTTATAACCATCTCCAGAGACAAATTCCTCATTGCTTTCAGAATACAAGAAAACTAAGTATAGTAAGGTAGTTAACACCAGAGCCTAGAAACCATTTTAACTGTCTAACGCTAACTGTTCCAGTAATCAGTGCTACGTGTTCTACTTAGTCACTTTTCTACTTCGACTTCCCAGGGAAAAAATACTGCAATGTGCTGCCACTTCCTTCTCCAGGGATCTTCCCGACCCAGGGTTCTCCTGCTTGGCAGGCAGGTTCTTTTACCACTGAGCCAGCAGGGGAACCCTTCTAGCCTTCGGCTTTTAACAAATTTACTCACCATGCCCCTTGACTTCATTACATCCCTCTGCCTAAAACACCACCAGTCACCTGAACCCTGGGGCACTTATCAATCCTAAAATATATTTCCATTCTGAAGTCCAGAAGTTCTGTTGATCTCCCCAAGGCCTGCTCCCTTCTGACTGCTTGGCCCCATCTAGTCAGTTCCCACCAACTCCAGCTCTCCCATCAGCTAGGAAGACGCAGCATGTACTTACTGGACCCTGGCCTATCGACCTCTCTCACAATGTGGGTCATGCCAGCCTTGTAGCCAAGGAAGGCGGTGAGGTGCACGGGCTTGGAAGAGTCATCCTTGGGGAAGCTCTTCACCTTCCCGCGGTGCCGGCTGCTGCGCTTCCGAGGCAGGAAGCCCAGGGACCCGTGCCTGGGAGCGGAGAACTTCCTGTGAGACTAAGAGAAATAGATGAACATTAGCACCTTCTGAGGAGCTTCCTTCCCAGAGGCCTCGGTTTTAAGAGGATTTCAAGCAATGATGAATCCACGCCAGCAACCCAGGTAAAAGGTTTACGTTCATAATTAAGTCTTATTCTTTGTAACCACACATCCAGAAGGCATTATTCAGCCAAACTTCAACGTTTACCTCAACCCCTCACCTTACATTTAAAAAACAACCATCCCCCTTCTCATTAAGCCAAAGACACACCAGAGAGTCGCATTAAGAATCGCTTAACAAACTTTACACTCAAGATTCTGATTTTCATTATTGCCATTTTGCCCAGGGACTCCTGGTCAAAGGGCTGGGTGCTGGACAATGCTACTGAAGGGCTCCTCATGCTCCCAACGGGAGCCAAACTGGAAAACGGAGGCCACTAGAACTCGACAGAGCCAAATCAGAACATGACAATCAGCACAGTGTCTCTGTCCGCCCGTCAGTAAGTTCATCATCTCTGGTTTCTGAGAACTCTAGAGGCCAAAGGTGTTGTACCAAACTTCCCAGACGTTTCAGAGTGAGACCTCAACAACCCCTGCCCCGAATACCCTTTCCAGCCTGCCAGCCGAGATTCCTGCACCTCTTTAACACTAGAGCCAAACAAGGTCCTCCTGCCAAAGGGCTCACGACTTGGATCTCGAATGCTGAGATCGAAATCCAGGAATAGTCCACGGTTTGAAAACGGTCTGGCCCAGGCCCCACAAGCCAAGGCCTCTAGCCAGCCAACAGGCAGGCCCCAAACCATCCTCAATTCCCGGATATTTTCAGGAAATAGACCTGACCGCGGGTTCCGCTGAGTGCCCCGTGCTACTACAGCAGAAACCCGGCGCCGGGTGAGCCGAGATGGCGGGGATGTGCGCGGATTCAGCCATGCCACCACGACAAAGAGGAAGCCGCCATGACACTACATACCATCCTGCCGTCGGAAGCTGCCGGTAGAGGTCGGTCGGCAGGCCGCGCGAGATATATAAAACCTAGTCTGGCTCCGCCCCTTCCGGCATACGAGCGCGCACCCGCGGCAGACGTCGGGTCGCGGGGCGGGCACTAGACTCCATTTCCGCGCATGCCCGTTCTCGCCTTGCTTGCTCTCTGACCGGGGCGTCAGTTTGGTAGGCGGGATTTAGAGGTCCTACGGCGAGCGACTGGGTTTACACTTCGTGAAAATTCTCGGACGCGCCGGCAGAAAATCAAAATACCAACACCCTACGGCGTTGGACAGCAGCCAACTTTTGAGGAAACGTTGAAACGCGCTGTTAAGGTGAAAGAAAATGGTCAGTCATCTCTGCAATTGAATAACCCTATTGGGGCTTCAGTTCCAAAGCGTTTTCACACGTGGTGTATCATTTCCGTCCACCACGCTTGATCATCGATGTTGCCATTTTGCAGGCATGTTGAAGTGGAATCAGTTGCACCGCCCCCACCAGCTCAAAGTTGGAGAGAAAAGATTGAACCCCTGGTTTTCCTGGCTCCCGACTCAAAGGCGCTTCCCCACACCAGCTTGCCTTTAATGCGTGCTGATTTGGGGTATCCCCTCCCTCTAGCTCCATGTCGGCCATTCCTCCCAGTATTGGGCTGCGGGGACTGGCACTTGATACTGAAGGTCTGAGGCGGCGAAACCACCTCACCAGCTGCCGAGCGTCACGAAGCCTGACTCTCCCCGCCTCCCAGATCCTCTGCATGAAGGACCCTCGCTGATCTCTGCGGACCCCTGGGCTCGGGGTCACCTAGGAGTCTCCTAGTTGCTCTCCCTGTCGCCAGGCTTGTCCCCACCTCGACTCCTAGTTATTTCCTCTGGTTTAAGTCTTAACTCCTGAGCCTGCAAGCCAAGAATCTGCTCTAATTAGCTGCTCCAGCCTCTTCTCTGTGGGTGAACACACATACACTTTTCCACCTTCCACCTCCATCCCACCCCGTTCTGTTCTCTGATTCTGGGCCTGGCCATTGTTCACACCGTTATTAAAAAAACGTTCTCATTTAACGTTCACTCGATCCCCCAGTGGCAGTGTTGAGAGTCCTCAGCCCCTTATTGGAAATCTTTGGGGCCAGATCTGTTTCCAAATTCAGCATTTTTCATGCTTTAGATAATATGCAATATGGTGCACATACTGTATATTATGTAATCCTCCCTAAGCTCTTTAATGAAACATGTTAATTCTGTAAAGAGACATGAATATTCACATGGAGTGGAATAAATAGCCCCACAGTTCAAGGCTAACTTAGCTGCCTAAAAAATTCAGATTAGTTTCATTTTTGCCACCAAATGACTTAAAGTTTTTTCATAATTCAGTTTACAGCAATATGGATGGACCTAGAGAATATCATACTCAGTGAAGACAGAAAAAGACAAATACTGCAATATCACTCATGTGAAATCTAAAATATGATACGAATGAACTTATTTACCAAACAGAAGCAGGCTCACGTGGAAAACAAAGGTATGGTTACCAAACAGGAAAAGGGTTAGGGAAGAAATGAATTGGGAGATTGGGATTAGATACAAATTGCTGTATATAAAATAGAGAAACAAGGTCCTACTGTATGCCACAGGGAACTATATTCAATATCCTATAGTAAACCATAATAGAAAAGAATATGAAAAAGAATATATAACCAAATCACTTTCCTTTACACCAGAAACCTAACATTATAAATCAAAACTTTTTATTATAGAATGGCAGACAAGGAATTATGGCCCACATTGTCCCCTTTTACAGAGAAAACAAAGTTCAGGCCAAAAAGGAATAATTTGGCAAAAGTCATACAATTAAGAAAGAACAGAGCTCAAGTCTAGATTAGGTTTTCATGATGTCAGACTCAGGGTTCAGTCACCTCTTCACTGGAAAAGGAGCTCTGAGGTCTTGAGTCACTCATTCGCTCAATAAGAAATTCTTCCTGAAGTCTTGCTCCATGTCAGATGCTGCACCAGGCTGTGGGAATGACACAAAAGGGAAGGGGGCAGGCACAACCTTTGAAAGAATGACAAATCCCGAGGACATCACGTACTGATTAGAGCCAAACAGGTCCAAGGTAACAGACTAGTCCACTTCCACTAGACCTTGAGCCCCAGTATATACTCACTGGAACACATCAGCAAGCTACGTGATGCACTCGCCAGCGCCATGACAGTTCCAAGGCTGACCATCAAAGATGGAAAAATGGGGCATTGGCCCAATTCCAGCCTGGCCTTTTGCATGATGTACTCTGCATATAAGTTAAATTTACATTGTGACAATATACAGTCTTGTTGTACTCCTTTCCCAGTTTTGAACCAGTCTGTTGTTTCCTGTCCAGTCTAACTGTTGCTTTTCTTTTTTCTAACTGTTGCTTCTTGATCTGCATACTGGTTTCTCAGGAGAGACAAGTAAGGTGGTCTGGTATTCCCATCTTTTAAGAATTTTTCAGTTTGTTGCAATCCAGTCAAAGGCTTCAGTGTAGTCACTGAAGCAGAAGCAGATGTTTTTCTGGAATTCCCTTGCTTTTTCTGTGATCCAACAGATGTTGGCAATTTGATCTCTGGTTCCTCTACCTTTTCTAAATCCAGCTTGAACATCTGAAAGTTCTTGGTCCATGTACTGTTGAAGCTTATCTTGAAGGATTTTGAGCATGACCTTGTTAGTATGTGAAATGAGCGCAATTGTACAGTAATTTGAACATTGTTTGGCGTTGCCTTTCTTTGGGATTGGAATGAAAATTGACCTTTTCAAGTTCTGTGGTCTCTGCTGAGTTTTCCAAATTTGCTGACATATTGAGTGCAGCACTTTAACAGCATCGTCTTTTCCAGTTCTGTGGCCTCTGCTGAGTTTTCTAAATTTGCTGGCATATTGAGTACAGCACTTTAACAGCATCATCTTTTAGAATTTTAAACAGCCCTGCTTGAATTCCATCACCTCCACTAGCTTTGTTCGTAGTAATGCTTCCTAAGGCCCACTTGACTTCACACCCCAGGATGTCTGGCTCTAGGTGAGTGACCACAAAATCATGATTATCTGGGTCATAAAGATATTTTTTGTATAGTTCTTCTGTGTATTCTTGCCACCTCTTCTTAATATCTTCTGCTTCTGTTAGGCCCATACGATATCTGTCCTTTATTGTGACCATCTTTGCATGGAATGTTCTCTTGGTATCTCTGATTTTCTTGAAGAGATCTCTAGTCTTTCCC